TCACTCTCCGCCCCCCTCCTCCCCGTCCCCCAGCGCCTCGGCCTCCCCGTCCTCCCCGGCCCGCTGCCTCCAGGGCCGGCCCAGGTAGGCGTGCACGGCGCTCACGGGGCTGCGCCTCCGCGGCTCGGGGTCCAGCAGCGCCCACAGCAGGGCGTCGGCCGCGGGCGCCAGGCCGAACCAGGGCTGCGGGCGGTCGGCCGGCCGGCGGTCGGCCTGCCAGGCCAGGAAGTCCTGGAAGAAGGGGTCGGCGGCGCGCGGCTGGTCCCAGGGGAAGTAGCCGGTGAGCAGGCAGAAGAGCAGCACGCCCAGCGCCCAGGCGTCCAGCGCCGGCTGCAGCGGCAGCCCGGCCGGCAGCGGCGGCGGCGCGCACAGCTCGGGCGCCGTGTAGGGCAGCGGCGGCCCGCGCAGGCGCAGCAGCGTGCCCCGCGGCCGCGTGTGGCCGAAGTCGGCGAGCTGCACCCGCCCGCAGCCCGGGTCGCGCACCAGCACGTTCTCCGGCTTCACGTCCCGGTACACGAGGCCGCGCGCGTGGATGTGCTCCAGCGCCGAGGCCAGCTGCGCCGCGCAGCGCTGGGCCGCGGCCTGCGGCAGCCCCACCTGCGGGCACGGCACGGTCAGGGGCGGGGTCAGGGGCAGGAGAGAGGGCGGGGTTAGAGGCCGATGAGGGGGCGGGGGCGGGGTCAGGGGCAGGGGAGAGGGCGGGGTCAGGGGCGGGGTCAGGGGCGGGGGTGGAGCGGGGTCAGAGGCCGAGGAGGGGGCGGGGTCAGGGGCGGGGGCGGGGTCAGGGGCAGGGGAGAGGGCGGGGTTAGAGGCGGGGGCGGGGCCAGAGGCGGGGGCGGGGTCAGAGGCAGGGGAGAGGGCGGGGTCAGGGGCGGGGGCGGGGTCAGAGGCGGGGGTGGGGTCAGAGGCAGGAGAGAGGGCGGGGTCAGAGGCCGGGGGAGAGGGCGGAGTCAGAGGCAGGAGAGAGGGCGGGGTCAGAGGCGGGGGCGGGGTCAGAGGCAGGGGAGAGGGCGGGGTTAGAGGCGGGGGCGGGGTCAGAGGCAGGGGAGAGGGCGGGGTCAGGGGCAGAGGTGGAGCGGGGTCAGAGGCGGGGGCGGGGTCAGAGGCAGGGGAGAGGGCGGGGTCAGGGGCAGGGGAGAGGGTGGGGTCAGAGGCGGGGGCAGGGGCAGGAGAGAGGGCGGGGTCAGAGGCGGGGGCGGGGTCAGGGGCAGGGGAGAGGGCGGGGTCAGGGGCAGGGGAGAGGGCGGGGTCAGAGGCGGGGGCAGGGGCAGGGGAGAGGGCGGGGTCAGAGGCGGGGGCGGGGTCAGGGGCAGAGGAGAGGGCGGGGTCAGGGGCAGGGGAGAGGGCGGGGTCAGAGGCGGGGGCGGGGGCAGGGGCAGGGTGGGAAGGGCATTCGGGCAAATTCAGGTTCTCTCCCCCTCCCCCAGGGAGCCGACCCAGGAGAACCAAGAGTCTCAAATAGGTGAGGACCAGGGAGCCCCAGTGGGACCCCATGGACCCCAGTGGGACCCCATGGAACCCAATGTGACCCCATGGACCCAAGTGGGGCCCCATGGACCCCAGTGGGACCCCATGGACCCCAGTGTGGCCCCATGGACCCCAGTGTGACCCCCATGGACCCCACTGTGACCCCATGGACCCCAGTGGGACCCCATGGACCCCAGTGTGGCCCCATGGACCCCACTGTGACCCCATGGACCCCACTATGACCCCATGGACCCCAGTGTAGCCCCATGAGGACCAGTAAAGGCTGGTCCGGTGTGGCCGTGGGGACCGGTTGGGCTGGCCAGTCTGAGGGTGTGGGGTGGCTCTGGGCCGGGGCCGGGGCGGGGCGGGGCGGGGGCAGTGGCAGCGGCCCCCGGGGGCTGAGGCGCCCACCTTGGGCCGGATGAGGCGCAGCAGGTCGCCCTGCAGCACCGGCTCCATCAGGAAGCTGTAGGAGTCGGCGGACTCGATGCCGATGCCGTAGGCGGCCACCACGCCGGGGTGCGCGCCCAGCGACACGCCCACGCAGAACTCGTACAGGAAGCCCCGCAGCGACGTGGAGGCCTTGGGCAGCTGCTTCAGGGCCAGGGGCGTGCCTGGGAGGGCGAGGGCGGGTGGGCTGGGCGGGCTGCCTCCTGGAGCCAGCGGAGCCCCTTCCTTAGACCACCTCCACCCCCCACCCCACTCCGGTCCGCCTCCCAGCGAGGCCCCCCCCACACCCCCGGGCAGTAACAACCCGACAGCATCGCCCTGGCCCGTGTGGTCCAGTGGGTAGAGCCTTGGCCTGCGGGCTGAAGGATCCCGGATTCAATTCCGGTCAAGGGCACAGGCCCGGGTTGCAGGCTCCATCCCCAGTAGGGGGTGTGCAGGAGGCAGCCGATCAATGATTTTCATCCTTGATGTTTCTACCTCTCCCTCTCCCTTCCTCTCTGAAATCAACAAAAATATGCTTAAGCTCTAACCGGTGTGGCTCAGTAGATAGAGCGTCGGCCTGCGGACTGAAGGGTCCCGGGTTCGATTCCGGTCAAGGGCATGTATCTTGGTTGCGGGCACATCCCCAGTGGGGAGTGTGCAGGAGGCAGCTGATCGATGTCTCTCTCTCACCGATGTTTCTAACTCTCTATCTCTCTTCCTTCCTCTCTGTAAAACTCAATAATATATATATATATTTAAGCATTTAACAAATATATATATATTAAATGCTTAAAAAAATACAGCAGCGTTCTGAGCGTTTCCGCTCTGCTCTCCTCAAGACTGTAGACTTGGAGCCACCGAAGGGACTGCAGGAAAACTGAACCCAGAACCTTTGGGGCCCAGAGGGGCCCGGCTTCAGCAGCCCCCACCCCACCATCCCACCCCAGAAGCCTGGCATCACACCCCACTAAGGAATCTCCAGGAGTCCCATTCCGCCTGGGATCGGCCCCCAGAACGCTAGCTCTCAGGCCGCCTTCCTCTCTCTCCCGCTTTGGGGGCGCCACCTGCCAGGCCCACCGCCCACCGGGAGCTGCCCCGGTGCAGCATGCCCCGCCCTGCAGCCTCCTGCGCCCCAGCCCCGTCCATCTGGGCGCCCGCAGCCCTGAGAGCGCGCCCTGGACAGCGGACAGCGACACCTCCCCCCCAGCCCCGCCCGGGCCAGGCGCCCCCGGGGCCTCCCAGCGGCCTCTGCAGGGGCCTCCACAGGCTCCCTGCACCCTGGGCCCTGGCGGCCTCCATCACCCCCGCTGCTCTGCCTCCGGCTGAAGGGCTCTGGGTCTGCCTTTCTGCTCTGGGCCAGACTCTGTCCCTTCCCCACTCCTGTGCTCACGGCCTCACCCCGGACACGGCAGAAAGTGGCTGTCTTGGGAGATGGCGTCCTTGGAGGGGCGAGATAAGGGCGTGGGGTGCTCCCCAGCCTAATCCGAGGACGTTCTGACACAGACAGACACACACACACACACACACACACACACACACGGAGGGGTGGCCACGTGAGGGCAGGGGGGGGCGGGCGGTCACAGGCCCAGGAGGGACAGCCCGGCTGACACCATGTCCCCGGGCGCCCAGCCCCCAGGACTGGGGAGAAGACAGGGTGTCCTGTCCCCAGGAAATAAGACACACCCTGGCCCCTGCGGCTCAGTGGAGAGCGCCGCCTGCAGACGGAAGGATCCCGGGTGTGGTTCCCGGTCAAGGGCACAGGACCAGGCTGTGGGCTCAATCGCAGGGGCGGGGGCGGGGCTTGCCGGAGGCAGCGGATCAGTGATTCTCTCTCATCGTGAATGTTTCTCTCTCTCTCCCTCTCCCATCCTGCCTGGGTCCCTGGCCCCACCCAGATGGGCTGAGGCCCTGGGGGGACTCCGAGGGGGTGTCCCCTCGGACACGGTCTCCGAGCTCCATCCAGTGTCCTGCTCCGTGGAGAGGATGGGGTGTGCGTGCGTGCGTGCGTGCGTGCATGTATGCGTGTGTGTGTGTGTGCCTGCGTGTGTGTGTGTGTGTGTGTGTATGCCTGTGTGTGCGTGTGTATGCCTGTGTGCATATGCCTGTACCTGTGTGTGTGTATGCCTGTGTGTATATACCTGTGCTGGTGTGTGTGTGTGTGTATGCCTGTGTGTGTGTGTGTGTGTGTTTGCCTGCATATAGGGGTGTGTGTGTGCCTGTGTGTGTGTGTGTGTGTGTGTGCCTGCATATAGGGGTGTGTGTGTGCCTGTGTGTGTGTGTGTGTGCCTGCATATAGGGGTGTGTGTGTGCCTGTGTGTGTGTGTGTGTGTGTATGCCTGTGTCGGTGTGTGTGTGTCTGTGTGTGTGTGTGTGTGTGTGCGCCTGCATATAGGGGTGTGTGTGTGCCTGTGTGTGTGCGTGCTGGGCAGAAAGACACCAGATTGCCGGGTGCCTGGCGCACAGCCCGCCCGGAACCATCCCCACGGCGACCGATAAGCTGGCTGCCCGCGGGGCCCAGGGCACCTCTCCTCTCCGCACCCCGTTGTCCTGGCAACCACAGCCCTGCCAGGCTCACCGCGACTTCCCACAGCAACCGGCCTGGAGGGCACCGGAGCCTGTCCAGGTCCGCGGCGCCCAGCAGCTGGCTCCCCGCCCCCCACCTCCCCGCCTCTGCCCCCACCCCATTCCGCCACCCGCCTCCGACCCCGGCCCTACCTTTCTGCCGGTGGGTGACCAGCAGGACGCGGCCGAAGCGACCCTCGCCCAGCGGCCGCACCTGCTGGTACAGCTCGTCCAGCTCGGCCCGGACCAGCGTCTGGGCGCTCAGCGCCATCATGTCCTCCAGGGCCAGCGCGGCCTCCTGGCCCTGCCGCAGCTCCTCCACGGTGAGGCCCCCCAGCTCCTCCGGGGCCTCCGCCTGCTGCTCGTCCGACGCTCTCCCCGGCATGTCTGCGGCAGAGCACAGGCTGACCCAGGCCGGCCGCCCGAGGGGGAGGCTGGGGCCTGGGGGCCTGGGTCCGAGGGGGGAGGGCTGGGGCCGGGCCTGAGGAGGGAGGGCTGGGGGCCTGGGTCCGAGGGGGAGGCTGGGGCCTGGGGGCCTGGGTCCGAGGGGGGAGGCTGGGGCCTGGACTCCTGGGTCCGAGGGGGAGGCTGGGGCCTGGGCTCCTGGGTCTGAGGGGGGAGGCTGGGGCCTGGGCTCCTGGGTCCGAGGGGGAGGCTGGGGCCTGGGCTCCTGGGTCCGAGGGGGAGGCTGGGGCCTGGGCTCCTGGGTCTGAGGGAGGGGGGGCTGGGGACCTGGGCTCCTGGGTCTGAGAGAGGAGGGTCGGCCCTTCGGCCCTCCCCACCGTGACTCAGTCTACCTCATCAGTGAAGGCACTGAGGAGCGGGAAGCCGTAGTGAGTTGGGGAAAACTAAGTCTAAGGTCACAGGTGTCCACCCCGGTCGCCAGGGCCACGGTGAAAGACGAACCAGATAACTCGAGACGCCCCCATCTTGTTTCCAAAGCAAACAGATTGGGCGCTGGCGGTGGGTGAGCAGCGTGGGGCGCCGGAGAGCAAACAGGTGCTCCCGGCCCCTGGGGGCCACGGCACGGCTGCCAGCCCGGCGGGGGGACCCGGCCGAATGCGGGGGAGGATGTGGAGCAGCCAGAGCCCGAGAGGGCCAGGGTCCCCCAATTACAGCCCCTCCTCCTCCCTCAGACCCAGGAGCCCGGCCCCCAGCCTCCTCCTCCCTCAGACCCGGGAGTCCAGGCCCCCAGCCCTCCTCCTCCCTCAGACCCAGGAGCCCAGGCCCCCAGCCCTCCTCCTCCCTCAGACCCAGGAGCCCAGGCCCCAGCCTCCCCCTCGGACCCAGGAGCCCGGCCCCCAACCTCCTCCCTCACACCCAGGAGCCCAGGCCCCAGCCTCCTCCCTCAGACCCAGGAGCCCGGCCCCCAACCTCCTCCCTCACACCCAGGAGCCCAGGCCCCCAGCCTCCTCCCTCAGACCCAGGAGCCCAGGCCCCAGCCTCCTCCCTCAGACCCAGGAGCCCAGGCCCCCAGCCTCCTCCCTCAGACCCAGGAGCCCAGGCCCCCAGCCTCTCCTCCTCCCTCTGACCCAGGAGTCCAGGCCCCCAGCCTCCTCCCTCAGACCCAGGAGCCCAGGCCCCCAGCCCCTCCTCCTCCCTCTGACCCAGGAGTCCAGGCCCCCAGCCTCCTCCCTCAGACCCAGGAGCCCAGGCCCCCAGCCCCTCCTCCTCCCTCTGACCCAGGAGCCCAGGCCCCAGCCCCTCCTCCCTCAGACCCAGGAGCCCAGGCCCCCAGCCTCTTCCCTCAAACCCAGGAGCCCAGACCCCCAGCCCCTCCTCCCTCAGACCCTGCAGTCAGGGTTCCGGTCCCATCTCTACTGGAACCCATACATCTCAACGTCTTGGGACCCCAGACTCTGCCCTAACACCCAGCCCTAAGGTCCAGTCCGGCTCTCGGTGGGGACCCGGGACGCTGGCCACCGCCTGGCCTCCCTCTCAGGTCCCACCCGCCTCGGCCCTTTAACGCGTGCCCCTTGCTGACCTGGGCCCCGACTCCGGACCTCACCTTCTCCAAGGCTGGCCTGACCCTGGGGCTGCCCGCTGTGGTCAGTGTCCAGCACTTACAACCCAGGCCAGCGCAGGCCTGCCCAGGAGCGAGGCCACGCCCCCACCTAGGTCCTAAGCCCCGCCCACGACCACGCCCCCTCAGCCCCACTAGGGATGGAGCGACATCGTGTGTTGACTCCCGGAACTGACTGTGGAGGCACAAATGTCCCACACCCAGGAGAACATTGAATCCTCCCTCAGGCCCAGGAGCCCAGGCCCCCAGCCTCCTCCCTCAGACCCGGGGTCCAGGCCCCCAGCCTCCTCCCTCAGACCCAGGAGCCCAGGCCCCCAGCCCTCCTCCCTCAGACCCAGGAGCCCAGGCCCCAGCCTCCTCCTCCCTCAGACCCAGGAGCCCAGGCCCCAGCCCCTCCCTCAGACCCAGGAGCCCAGGCCCCCAGCCTCCTCCCTCAGACCCAGGAGCCCAGGCCCCAGCCTCCTCCTCCCTCAGACCCAGGAGCCCAGGCCCCCAGCCTCCTCCCTCAGACCCAGGAGCCCAGGCCCCCAGCCTCCTCCCTCAGACCCAGGAGCCCAGGCCCCCAGCCTCCTCCCTCAGACCCAGGAGCCCAGGCCCCCAGCCTCCTCCCTCAGACCCAGGAGTCCAGGCCCCCAGCCTCCTCCCTCAGACCCAGGAGCCCAGCCCCCAGCCTCCTCCCTCAGACCCAGGAGTCCAGGCCCCCAGCCTCCTCCCTCAGACCAGGAGCCCAGGCCCCCAGCCCTCCTCCCTGGGACCCCCTGTAGAGGTGACGTCATCTCTCTGTGCGTCCCCTGCCGTGACCCCAGCTGCCCGTCCGTGCCCACTGGCCGGTCAGACACCGGGGCTGGTGGGGGTGTCCCAGGACAGGACCCCGGGGTCCCGGGGGAGAGGATGAGACAACGGATTCCAGAGCGATGCGGCGAGGGATGAGCTCAGACTTGGGCCCGAGGGGCAGCAGGTGGCGGACAACTGGGAGGCGGGGAGGCCGGGACCCGGGTTCAGGGCCCCCTGCCCTC